TTTTCACCAGTCCTAAACATGTTCAAACACCAACAACAATGAAACATTGGAAAACAGAATTTAATAACAACAAAACAATAAACGGCATTCGATTAACAACAAAATAAATCAAGTTTCATAAAAAGTTCAATACAAAAACTACTATAAATGTCCAAAATAATGAAATGTCTCATTTTTTCCCTTTTCCTTTATAGTGCGCATCCGGAGTGTATTTGTTTGGGCCCTGTCGGATCCTGTCTCCCCTCTTAAGATACGTGAGTATTGAACTTTGGTGTGGTTGCGACTGTCCACCAAACTGAGCCTCGATTTGGGGTTGAGATTGGGACTCCCCCATGGTGATAAATTTGACTCCCGGTTGTGGTTGCGACTGCCCACCAAACTGAGTCTCAGGTCCACCAATGTCAAACTGAGTCTCGGGTCCACCAATGTCAAACTGAGTCTCGGGTCCACCAACTTCTTCAAAATGAGTCTCGACCTGGATGCGCGAGCCTCGAGAGGAATGTGCTTGATCCTCATTTTGTTGACCCTCAGTTTGTTGTTGCGATGTCCGAGGGGGGATTGTGACCTTTCTCTTTCTTCCTCCTCCAATCTTATCTCTTGACCACGGTTTCGCTTTTTTACCCGGCGGAGGTTGTGAGGGCAAAAATGGATCTTCATCAACCAGGATTTGGGTATCATCCACCTCCATCTCATCATTTGCGCCCAAGGTTAAAGCAGCATGTGTTTGATTGATGATATCGTCCAAATGCTTGTCAAGTTCTTCGTCTAGGAGATTATCATCTTCTCGTTTTTCTCTAAACCTCTCGGTACTCACGCGAATGTTGTTCAATACTTCACCCTGAAAAGAAATTGGGACGTTAATTAAGAGAGTAAAGTTCTAAAAAAAAAAAATGAAAAAAAAATGAAAACATAAGAAATAATAAAAGAAATCTACAATTAACTCACATATAATTTCACGCGGCTCGAAGAAGTCTCGTATCCTTGAGGTTCATAATTACCGGGATTGGATATCAATCTGACAGTGTTCACCATGAACCATTCATAGTACCCCTCATATACGGAACCAGGATCTCCTTCCTCCAAATCTCGTAGCACGAACTCTTCTCTCCTATTCCAATGACGGCGTACTGCGGAATGGTGATCCTCCCAATTATTGCTAAGATACCCAGACATACTGTGGGCGTGATCGAGAAGGAATGCTGCGTTATCTTTAATCATGGGGCGCTTGGGAACATCCTGTATGTATCCAAATTGTCTTACGACTCTGCCCGACTCGTGGGGTTCCTAATAGCCCAACAGAACATCCAACACCTAGTCGTCCAAATGGCTTGGCCTTGTGTACGTAAATCGGGAGTCTATGGAGGACATGTGCATATGGTTGCCACCGAAACCGCACGAAAAAATTTCATTAGATGGTACAACCGAAACCAAAAGAAAGGGGTAATTGATCTCAAAGTAAATATAAATACCAAATTACAAGTACTTACATCTTCAACACGCAGACTTGTTAATTGATCTCTAAAAGGTGGAGTGCTGCTCCTTGGGGCGTCGTCGTACGTGTACCTACATTCCCACCTTAATAAACAACGCAATGCATTTGAATTAGTGAAATTAAATGAATAAGAAACAAATAGAATTAAACGTTGAGTTATTTTGAACTGAAAATACGTACTGCTGAGCTAATGGAGCGGTCTCATCAAGCAAATAATCTACTCCTTTTCTTTGGGGCGCGATCCTCTCGATCCGCTCATACGCCCATACCTAGTAATTTGCAATAATAATGTAAAAACATCAAATTATAACGTCGAAAGCGCAAAATAATTAAAGCACAAAATGAAAACTAATACGTACCTGTAGCAAATATAGACACCCAGTGGCGTCGTGCATGGTATACTGTGATGCCTCGCATAGGCCAGAGTACAACCCAGCCAGCAGTGCCGATCCCCAACTGTATCGACTACACTGATCCAAATCCTCAATCTGGGCCAAGAACTGTAGATTGATAGTGTTCTGCGTCTTGTTCAGAAACATGAAACTGCTAATAAAATGCAGTATAAGTGTCCTGGCTTCAAAACTGGCTGCTTTATCATTCATTTTCTCGTATTTTTTCCATAACTCAGGAGGGATCGGTGTCATGCAATTTCTCGCAGACAATTGTTCTTCTCTATAGAATTTAACAGTTTTGCGAAAGGTTGCATCGATCAAGGCTCTAATTGGTAAAAAACGGATCCCTTTCAACGCATTGTTGTAACTCTCAGAAATGTTGGTTGTCGCTATGCCCCAACGGCGAAGACCGGCTTTCAATCGAGCCCAGTTACTCCCCCCAATCCCTCGAAGATACTCCCATGCAGCAGGTTTGAATTCAATAAGCTCGCCTCATACGGTTGTATTTCACTCTTGAAAGCGTCGTGCCCATCTTCCAACATAACCGCTTCACCTTTTTGCTATTATATCGCGATACAAGATTGCTGCGAACGTGGCGGAGGCAAAGAAAGTGCCCACCATCACCTAAATCACGCCATTCATCCATCTGTGACATTGCGCTCAACAACCCTGCATTCCGGTCGGATATCACACTTACGATTCTATCATACACAACCCACAACCTCAAATTCCTCATAAAAAATGTCCAACTCTCTACTGTATCCTCATCAACAATCACAAATGCAACCGGTAAAATGTGCTTGTTTGCGGTATACACCACCGCAACAAGCAATTTACCCTTGTATCCACCACGCAAAAGGTTCCATCTATACAAATGACCGGTGGACATTCAAAAACGTCTCACCACCGGTGCAAATGACCGAAGACGTATTTAAATGTCCGGTTTCCCTGTTCCAACCTTCTTGTCCCTCTTTCCATTCCCACTCTACTACGGTCTCGTGGATTAGTAAACTTAAGCGCAATGATATACCTAAACAACAACAAGTCATTGTTAAAATATTTCAATACATGTAAAAATAAAAATACTATAAATATTTCAATACACGGATAAAAGTTGATATTTACCGTGGAAGTTCTTCGAAATTGGAGGTCCAATCACCATAGACCGCTTCTATGGCTTTCCTCCTCCCGTGCCACGCCCTTTTGTATGGCACATCTACTTTCAATAAGGTCTTCACATCTTTCTGTGCCGAGGCTACCGTTTAATCTACGTTGTCCTCAACCTTTCTCCTGATGAGTCTAGCAATCAAAGACGCGTCCACACACCGATTGTCATTATCATTCACAGGAGTCATGCAATTATGTGCATCATGCCATCTCACAATTTCATGAAGGCCATGAGCTTTCAATGACACACGCATCTTCCACTCACATGGTGGTTCACCATCCTCACTTTCCACATTAAATATTTTGCACCGCACAGCCCACGTCCTTGGACTACTCGCGGCGACCGTATATTCCCTTTTATGATGGATATTCCATAATTTCACAATATGCTTTGCTTCTGATTGAGATTTGAAACAAACACCAATGTCCATTCCTTCGGGCGTCTCATCCCACATCTTAAGAGCAAACTCATCCTTGTCTACACATGAGGCATCCCAGTTCCCCATCTTACTATGTACATGGCGTCGGGCGAATAGATTACAATCCCTTTCCTCATTTTCCAACCTTTCATCATCACTTTCTTCAAAATCACTCTCTCCGGAGACATCATAGTCTTCTTCGCTTTCACTTGGACCTATGTAGTCGGAATCTGACTCTTCCCGGTAGTCATTTTGTGCAAATAAAGGTGTCTCCTCTTCATTACGGTTTCGAGAAGTACTAGCACGTTCCCCCCTTCGAAAATCACCAAATGACACGTTTTCCAAACTCGCTTCTCTTTCTTCTTGAGTGATATCTTCCAAATCTATGTATAAATCCAAACATGACATTGGATCTACACGGTTCATGAACTCTACATGCGAATCATTCTTGATCTTCACTACACGCCTACCACCGGACTATCGAAAATCAAAGAAAGGTGGAGTTTCACGTGTCTGGATCCCAACCAAGGGTCATACAAATCTTACTAATCAATCCCTCATATGACAACCTTTCTTCGACAAACAAACCATCATCCGGCATATTCGAAAAAGTGTTGATGCTACCGTTCTCTATCACATACTTACTTGTATGATACAAATTAAGCATGTATGATACATTACGTGCCATTGATAATCTGTTAAAAAACATCAATAACTAATCATTTCTTAATAACAAAATCAACAAAATACACCATACATTCTCTAAAATACACCATACACCATACACCATACATACTCCAACAAATACACCATACTAAAATACTTATAAATCAACTTCGATATCTCATGAACAACTATGATTTCTCATCTCTAACCTCAAAATCAACACCTAAAACATCCAAACAACCAACCAACATAAACTCTAATCTATCATACATCATTCTAACAATCAAAATAACACAAAAATAAACTAAATAACATGGTTTTGCAATCTAACCTCTTTCAAATAACGATTTCCACGTATCTAGAGGCAAGAATGCATCAAAACTTCAATTCGCCCTTATTTGAGTGCAAAACAGAAAATCCAACTCGGTTCTCGAATGAGAACGCCTCAAATTTTTTTCTTTTATAGCACGTTAAACTCGGTTTACGAAATCCGAGTCCGTAAATAACTTCGGATTTTCAAATCCGAACTATGTTAGATTCGGATTTCATAAATCCGGATTTAGTCAATTCAGGATTATTTTATTAATTTTTTAGTCCTCCAATTTAAGGCACATGCCTACTTCCACCAACCAAAATTAAAAGCATCCGGATTTCGCAAATCCGAATACGTCAAACCGGATTACGGACTTCCGGTTTTTTGGATTCAAAAATTTCGCGCCACGATTTATTAATTTTTAACTAAACTCGGATGTTACAAATCCGAGCTTTACTGTTCATTTAAGAACTAAAAAAACTATTATTCAACAAAAATTATGAAATTATTATTTTATTATTAAGTATGAATTCGGATTTGCAAAATCCGAATCTCTAATTTTAATCTAAACTCGGATTTCAGAAATCCAAGCAATATAATTCTGTCCACAAATATTCTGAAAAATTTAAATTTGTCCACGTTTATGTTATTTAATTTTTTTGGGAAAAAGCCCGCTGCTAAACTGTGTTCTGTTGATTTGAGAACTACATCAGCAATTGAAACATACAGCTTTACATTACAGATCCACATTGCTCACACTGAAACTTGTGAATTCTATTTACTGTCACCTTCTCTGGGTAAAAAGAGTACGAAATTGCTTGTAAACCTAAGTATTTATGGACAGGTGAGGTTAAACGACCAAAATTTGCCTTATTTACATGATTGATGCCGAACTCGTTAATCAAGCTAACAGACTCGTGACAGAAAAGCTCCATTTTTTGCTCAAATCAATAGCAGAAAAGACGCAATGTCATTGTGGCAGCTTGTTTCTCTTCTCTTTCCCTACAACCACATGATCCACTTAGATATGGTAATAGGAAGAGTAGGATATTTGAATTCGATAAAATAAAACTACTTACCAAATATAGTCGATCTCAATGCAAACTTAACTGATGATTCGTTCACCTTTATGTTTTTAGACTGCCTGCTTGTATTTGACTTTTCAGCTTGAGCAGAGCCGTTAATGCGCCCGGCAGCCGAAAGCTCAATCCCTTTCTTCACCTTCTCATGGTAAACAGCTGGAGGAGCAAGCCGTAGTGGAGGCATAGTTTCTATTTGAGTTGATTTTTGGTCTTTATGGAGACTGTTCAAGAACTCAAACTGCTTCAACCAAAACAAACCATCATGTTAACAAAAAAACAGAGAAATAGGACTTACAAAACTACTCAAGAAGAAAACTTTTACCCTTGAAACTGGTTGGTAGACATAAGAAGCCTCAAAGACATCATTATCTTGTGAATGCGAGGAACTTGTTCCTTGTGCTTTCTGCAATCCTGTAGAAGCTCTCATCAATCCAAAGTCAAGAACAGTTTTGCTAGATATCTGAGCATTCTTCCCTGCCACACAGATAGGGCATCCAGCTGATATAGCCCCAACAGAAGTCTGTTTCTCGTGGTGTGCACAGCGAATGTGTAACGCATGACTGCAACTGAAAACTTGAATGCCGGAATCTTTTGCAAGTGGGCTATTGCATATACAACATGTTATATCCTGCGGGGCATACCCATGAGAAGCTTCCTTCTTGAGCAAGTTCATGGTGTAATAAGCATCATCCTCAATCAAAGATTTGGCCGTGTCCTGACAATCAAACACCAGTCAATAGAAATCCAGAATGTTAAATGTTTTAGTAGACTGTGGCCACTTCAAGTACAGTACTGGCTGTCAATACCAATGGCCAGGAACATTGTAACACGGTTAACATGCAAGCATGAATTAAAAAAAAAGGGGGTACAAGAATCAACTGAACACCATCAAAAGGATGTTAGCCATATAAATTTCTTGCATATGAAGTTATAGGATTCCTCACAAACTCCATAAACAAACCACTAATGTGTACAACACTTTCCAGTGCGTACCTACGTATGGCTAGCCTTCCGCTTAAGTTTTTTTACCAATCTTTTAAAGTCCATGTATCTCAATTCATGTAGGATAAAAGCTACATATCATAGTAACAAGGGGATCGTCAGCTAACTCCAAGTATATAACATCCAGAAAATACACAAAATACCTAGAGAAAATATTCCACTACATAACTCCAAATGGCATGCAGAAACTAATACTTTCAGCAACTGGCTGCAGAATCCTAAAAGATAGAACAATAGTAACAATTGCTAAATATACGGGGTAACTATGAGGAATAGGCCTTATACCATTAGGTACTATAGAGCTCCTATCAACATAAGATGAAAATTCCAGCACTGAAGAATATATTTACGGAGTTAGCACAACTCTTCTGCTTTCTGCAATATCCAAGCTCCTCAACCCTTGTAGCTTGGATAATCAGGTTATCACTGGTTGAGAGATAAGCACCAGGATCAGATGTTGGCCACTTTTCTGTGGAATATACATAGTGTTCCTAAGTTCTGCTTCATCACATGGTTGCACAGGCAAGATAGGTTACTAACAAGAGATATACTTAAAAGCTGCCCTTTATGCTCTGAAGGTACAGAAACTGCTGATCATATCTTTGTAACATGTAAATTTGCTGTGGGAGTAATGGAGAATTACATGGAATTGCCTGAAACTGAAATGCAAGTTCTGTCAACAAAGGACTAGAAGAAACTGATTTATCTGTGGAGATGGAGTTAAGGTAAAACAGAGGGTTTTATTAGCCGTTATTGAAGCTAGAACCTACCCTTATGGAAGGCTAAAAATCAAGCAGTGTTTGAAGGATATCCTAAATGTGTGTCAGGAAATGCAGCCAGAGAAAAAGTGGCGAGTAAGGTATCACTGTCAAAGAAGAAAAGTCTACTGAAACTCAGTTTCTGGAAAATCTAGGACTCATAATTGATGAGCTGATTGAATGATATAGGCAGTAGTAGGTGGTTTAGAATTCTACGGTGTGGAGAAAGTTTGTTTGAGCAATGAAATTTTACCATTTACCTAAAAGAAAAATAAAACAGTCTACGCTACCAAATGAACTTGGATTACATCCTCATAACCCATTCTCCTGCATAAACTAACTTGGCCAGAGTCCTTTTGAGTTCACATGGCTATTCCTTTTTAAGCAATTGAACTGCATTTCCCGGCTCAAGGCAGGGTGCTTTAAGCAGAGTATATTAGACGGATGTAAGAAATATTTTTATATGTTATACTTAATCTATAACCAACCCACGCTAAGTACTGCCATTCACATTTTCAATGTTCTGGAGTAATTTCAAATTAAAGAGCAAGAGGGGCCAAGTGCAACGAAGTAGACCAATTTGAAAGAATCTTAGATAATTTTCTGGCTATTGAATCTGAGCACAAATGAGAATAAATGGATAGAGAAACTTACCAGGATTCTTCTCTCAAAGTCGTAAGTTCCAAGCATACCCAATATGGTAGGTTTAATGTCACCAAACTCCTGGATACGATTATCTGAAAGAAGTTTCAACATAATAGTTGGAATGGGAACATGACCAATCATTCCCTCAACAATCTCTCGGATAACAACAGATATCAGTTTCTTCAAAATTTGAGAGTTTTGCAGTGATTTCAATATCTTCCATTTGACAGTGCATGCTCCTTCATGCTCTTGCACTACATGTGACTTGTCTCGAATTTGTTGACATGATTCCTCAGAAGATCCATCTTCATGAGATGAATCTGCCAAAGGAAGACAGAACCTGCATGGAAACAAGAGATTGAGATCCATTACATAAATCTTATCTAGAATTATCATTACCCATTTATGTTATACAAGTGCAACAATTCGAATGACTGCAGTAACTCAGAGAAGCTAAGCAAAAAAATGAAGGCTTCAATAATAGCATTGATGAAAAATGGCTGCTAATCAGATTGGCGAAACGAAACAAGCAAAGAAATAAACTCTCTCTAACAGTAAGCAGGTAAGATATTATCGAAAGAAAGTTAACATCCGGAGACCTACGAAATAGAAACTTCTTAATATACAGTGCTAAATGGACGGCGTCCTATTCAAACGCCATCGAGTGTATACAACAATCCAATTATAATTAGGTTTAACAACAGATACAGGTAACTAGCCAATAACTAGTATTTAGGCAGAAATGAGAGGCTTACGAGTCAAGTAACTGAAACCAGAGGCACTCAGATTCATGAGAGCCCAAACGAGGGCTGTTACGTTGGCACAGCCCAATACAAGAGTGCACAATATCAATAATGTCTCTGACCTGCAACGTTAAGGCTTCAACATTAATCACATTCAAATAAGAGCCATACATTAAATCCACAAACAAATGAAGAAGTTACAGATGTACCTCCTTCTTCTCCAAAATTTTTCCAAGTTTAGCTGAAACTGGATCAGAGTGTCCACTTCCAATAGAGGCATCAAGAATCACAAATTTTTCATCTAGGCCAGAAAGAATCAGCGAAAGAGCACTACCCACATCACCAACCCTCTCCAACAAGAAAACAGCTGCATCTACAATTCCATAATCCTGACATAAGCTTAAACAGTTCTCCAGTCTGTAGCTCTCAAATGTCTCCAAGAATTTTCGAACCGATTCTCGCTCGTAGCGACATAATAACTGCAATTGGCAACAAATAAATCAATAAATTGAAAAAAAAAAAAAGAAAGGGAGGGAAAAACAAAACTAAGAGAGTGATGAAAACCATTAAAGAAAAAAACACACACACACAACTTTAATTTGGGGGAAGATAAAATAATTTCAACCAAAAGAGAATACCAAAATATTGCCATCACGAGTCTAGTGTTCCTATGTTTACATTAATGAAAATTGATATCCAAATAGTAATGCTTGAGCAAAAATGGCACTTCTTTATGACAGTTACATGTGATGTTAACTCAAGAAAAAGAAGCAAGACGTGAGCAACGACATAATCTTCGTGTAGAGACTAGAATTCGTTCAGGTTTGTTTACCTCAAAGTAAAGCTCCGTCATTTCATCTGTCAGTTGGATGGGACTACTCCGCAGAAGTTTAGGAAAGCCAATCAGAGCTTCCCGGAATACTCTAACTCTGTCAGACTGGTGCCTTACCCTTCTTTCAATGGGGCAAAATACTTTATCATCATTTGTTAAGCGGGAGAATTGGAGATTTCCAGTTGTGTGAACCTCAATAAGTGTCTTGAGATAAAGGAAAAGACATTCCGGTTGAGCCTCTAACTCAGAAAGCAAAATTTGACTTTGCTCATTAAAATGGCGAATGAGTAAAAAGAAAGTTCCTTCTCTGTAGAAATAAGACCAAATACAGGAGGTAAAATTATCAGGAAGCAATAAGTATCAGAAATAGCAAGCATAAGCCGAAAAGTAAGAAATGAACAATGACTTGAGGAATTCATATTTCTGAGATGGACAAAACTTTCCAAAATTTTTGACAAATTACCTGTCTAATTTAACCAGATGCACAACTCGTGATACAATTGCCGCTCGGAAGCTTTCAGATTGTTTTTCATCCCATTGTTGCAACAAATCATGGATAAAAGAGAAAGCATGAACGGGCTCATCAACAGCTTTCATATAACTATCCAGAGCAGCAACATACTGATGTCTCTTTGAATGTATGAAGCCGCAGACCTGAATGTCGTTACACAAAATAAATTACAAATCCCAACTTTTTAATCTTTCAATTAAGCACATGATAAGCCTTATCACACATTACAGTACCTGATGAAACTGACATCTTTCACATAAATGTAAAAGATAAGGAGCATCCCAATCTGTATCAGGCACTGCGTCTAGAACTACCAGCAGTTGCTTCTCTCTTGCTTTGAAAATTTGAATATTTTGTGCTGAATCACTGGGTGGAGGGATAAATACTGACGTCAAATACTCCAAAATATGACTTAGAGTATCTCGAGAGACTTTAGCCCTTTCGCATGCAACGTAATAAGTTATAAACTCAAGCATGTAGCCAACATCTTCCTTTGAAGGCCAAGTCTCGATTGCGTAACCATCACTGCTGCTCATAGAACAACCCATTTGGAAATAACTAGCATCGAGAATCATAGAAATTAGATCAACTAATTTCTGGAGTAAATTTTGACTTTCAGCACCCAACACCTTCACTTCACTTGACTCAGATGAGACCTCACCATGATAGTTAGAACATGGAAGAGTATCCTCCATGAATGCACTTCTTAGTACATCTAAAGTAGCTAGGGTATCCAATTGTAACAGATGACATAAATTCGGTGATCGATCAAGAGATGGCAAGCAGGTTGCTGCCTTTGAATTTGGGATACTAGAAAAATCCAGCAGAAACTGCAGAATCTCTTCCCTAATAGACAACAGGCGAGTAGCAGGAAGGGTTCCATGTCCTGCGCAACAGAGATATCAGGTGCCACGCAGTGCCCCAATGAATAAAACTATAGCTTTGACCAACAAATAATGAAGAAAGTACTTCTTTGAAGCTATGAGTTATGTTATTTTACCCCATAGTTCTTCTGATCAACGTCTCCTCCCCCAAAAAAAAAAAAAAAAAAAAAAAACCCACTACTAACCATTGCAGTCTTCAAACCAGAACTACAAACAATTTACTACAAAATAACCATATTAATGTGAATCCTAGAGCGGTACTACAAACAGGTTTCAAAGCGGACCAACATAATTTAATTGAAAACAAATATAGGTACTGTTTGATTAAACCAATACCTGGCGGAAATGCAAGACCCTGGAAACTGTACTTCAGATAAACAAGAATTCTGTACCTGTTACAATGGGTTAAGATGTGGTTACTCTGGCCTACCTAACCAGGATACGCTGACCTATGAGGCGAATAATAGAAACCTCCCAATAGTTGCTGAAAAGGTTGGAATTATTTGAAATCAAGAACATAAGAGCAGATACTTACCCGACGGTAGAAGCACTTTCTCCCTCACAATTTTGAAAAACTCCTAAGAGCTCCTCCAATGGTGTCCTGAAATCATCTAGACCTTTGTTAAACAAATATATTAATGCACCATGTAGCCCATGCTCCCTGCATAAGCGTACCACCTACAATACAGATAACACCTTTTTCAGCAACTAAGTATGAAATGAGGAAGAGAACTTCAATGTTCCACCGTGAATAGAGGAACTCCAATGTATTTTTTTGTTAATAGAAAGGAAATTAAGTACTAAGCATAGTGTCAAAAGGAGGAACAAAGACACACAACATAATTACAATCAAAGTCAGTCACTAAGAGAACAAAACCTGGTTGAAATCCAATGACGCAATGTCCATATGAAGAATGCATTGTTCGACCCTTTGTAACCAACCTCTAAAGCTATAATGCTCCACTAGAGCTTGCATAATCTTTATAGCGGAAAAGAAAGCAATTATAATAAAGATCAGTGGTAGTAACATATAGCTGAGACAACTAGTTGAAAGACAATTAAAATATTCATGATGCTGAATATAAAGACATGGGAACATTACCTCAGGGGGTAAGCAGCCCAGCATGTCCTTCAATATGTAAGGCTCCAGCAGTTCCAAAAATGTTTCTAAAGAAAAGATGAATAAGTGGAATTGAACACCAACTATCCAAAGAACTCTATTCCATAAGATTTAAGATTCTTATCATTAAAAAGGTTAGGAACTCCATAGAACTTTGGCACCTTTCTTCCAATCCTATAACTATGGACAACATTCATGAGCTTCTCAGCTAATAAGCACAATCATCATGCTAGGTGGGCAACATCAACAAGGGCCAAGCATACATGTACCAAGAAATAAGATGAATCCCCAATGACAGTAAGTCTAATTTCTTTCATATATCTACATGTCAAGTATTTCCTGAGAGTGCATCTGTGACCGTGTGTTCTTGCTAAAATCTCAGGAAGAAGCATGCAAGACTATGCTGGACTGTGCAATTCATGCATAGAGGGTGAACATACCGAGCAGCAAAAGAGACAATAAGTTTTTCCTTCCTAAGGCCCAAGCAATCTACAGGGATAGACGAACTTATAAACATCTTTCAGAAAAGAATTATAGATCACAACCAAAGGGAAATAGATGTTAAAAGAAAGAATATAATAGGTTTTGGTTTCCAGTTAACTTTCAACACATCAAAGGAATGAAATTTTTTTCATCATATTTGTAAAAACAAAACTTAAAACATAGCGTGTCCAACAGCAAAAACAACCTCTGGATTGAATTCGATAATTTCATGCCTTTTAAGTTATGCGGTATAAGAAACATTAACTTCCGCAACTAGAAGAAATTTCAAATATGTTAACAATTTACAAGACCTGAGAGGAAGAGAAAAAGTACAGATATTGGCACTGTTTGGACTGTAATCCAAAACCAGGTCTTGTGATTTTGTGTTTTCAAAATACTCCAAGAACACTTTTGTTTTTTACTTTTCCAAAAAAGATATCTTCACTCAATTATTGTCTACCATGGACCACCACCAACTGCAAGTTGCAGCGGTCACTGGCCTGCGACTGACCGGCCAATTTTCTGGCGATGGTTCCGACAACATACTTTTTTGTCCAAACACGTTGTTTAAATCAATTTCAAAACCTATCTCAAACAAACGAACACACAAAAACGCAAAACACAAACCAAAACTCAATGACAAGAATTTAAAAGGAAAAAAGAATTAGAGACAATATGATGAAGTCACAAGGAACTCGTGTATGCTTCAAAAGAAAATTAGGGAAAACAAGCAAAGAAGCTCACAAAACATTCACGGATCTGCAATTGTATTTATCTGGAACCTCAAAAGGAAATGGAACCACGGGTACCTTTATGTTTAGCAGCATCAAATTTGGAGTAGATTTCATCAAATAGAATATCCGTTCTCTTAATATGGACACAAAACTCGACAGCAACACCGCCAACACGGATGTACTGCTCCTTTATTTCAGGATGATCAGAACTACTACTCATTGCATTATTTAATTTTTCTGTGTTTCCCACTTGGTTTCCAGATGCAACTTTTATATAAGAAAACACCTCATCAACATATGACAAGAGAAGCTGTAATAGGTATGGCATGATCGTTTTTTTAATATCATCCAAAGTTCTTGGAAGATCAATGGCTCCATGAGCTTGACCATCATAAAGAGTCATAGCCATGTTCAAGGCTCCCATCCAATCACCTGCTCTCCGCAAAACCTCAATACGTTCCTTCCAGGGAAGAAGCCGGCAAATCAAAAGATGGGATGGTCCAAGTACATATATACTAGCTCCCCTTACAGCTACACAATTATGGTAGGCTTTCTCAGGATTCCCATAAGAATTGTTAAAGTAGGTATGATATGTAATCAAATCATCTCCTCTAGAAACATCAACAGAAAATCTGGTCTCGTGAATCATGCTTCCATCTTTGGTGAACATCCCAAGTTGTCCAATTGAGTTGAGAATCACCAGCATCTGCACAAACACCGGGCCAGAAGAAATTTCAACAGCACAGAAGTCATCTGCAATTCAAAATGAATTGCCAACACACGAAAAATACATGTTACCTGATCATCGAGCCAAGCCACACCAACTGCAGGATTATCTATGGTCCATTTGCTATAAATTCCCAGTTCTGACTTAACCAACTTAGCTACCTGAACCGTTCGATCCCAAGCAATAGCAAGATATGAAGCTCTTTCTGATGGTTCAACACGGCCCGTTTCTGCAATAAAACCAAATCATGACAGCAGATTACAGATAGAAAAGAATTTTCTTTTAAAAAACCATAACCTACATGTACCTGTTGAAACACCATTTGAATCAGGTATGGATCTCCAAGACACGTAAGGCATTGAACTTCCACCAGCACCTTCAGGCTTCGGAATATGAGCATATTTTACCACATTATCCGAAGAAGGAACTAATTTTGCCTGCAGCAGATGCATACATTTGAAAACAATCAGGAACAATTAAAACACACTTTTCGGAATGAAGTACAGGGAAAGAGCACTCAATATAAAAAATATCCTGAAGAACTTCGTACCACCAAAGCATTTTGATGAAAAACAAATACGACGACACCATCTTCAGGTGTAGGGGAATATTTTGAACCAGCATCAACTCCTATAACACCTCCCATCATGCTTCCAATAGCACTTGTTGCACTAACATTGCTCCCTTGGGGAGTAGTCGATGCACCAACTAAGGACTCGCCAGAGATCAAGGAAGATGCACAGATTACAACACCCATTTTTTCATTGCAAAGGACCTGCTAGGAAAAAAGAAACTCGTTCAGTGAGGAAATTCATCAGTTTATAGTTACCTACAAAAGATAAAAGCAGGTTGCAGGTAAGCATTGCTCACCGTTGCCTTGTTGAGATAAATCTTGTTAACCAAGGGGACGAAAGAAAACCGAATCAACTTAACTACACCTTTGCTATCACCACTAACAACATTCAGTTGTTTGCTAACTTGAGAATCCTGCCCCAAATATAGCATATGCACTACGGGAGCTTTATGCTCAGTTACAACCCTAATTACCGAGGCCCTTTGCACATCCCACACAGAAATATGCCCATCGCCATATCCGGCAAAGAGGAACTCCCCTTGCTGATTAAAGCACATAGAAGTTACAGGAGCATAGGACCTGTCCCCTTGTAATCCAAGCATCAACATCTGAAATACATACAGGATTACAATTCAGTTAGAAGTGAAGTTCATGTAGGAGTATATGCAACAAAATGAGAGAATTCGATTGAAGTAAACATAAGGATGATCATATGTAGATCATAATTTTCTAAGCAATTTTTGTGGCAGGGACCTAACCGGCGAGAATGACAGCAGAAAGAGTTCTTTCATAAACAAGAATGCTGGCGCTAAAAATGTTCTAAAACATAAAAATGGACATCTAATTCCCAGTTTAGCACATCCATCATACGTTTACACAATGTTCAAAGTTGTAAAAAGAATATCTAATAAGTAGCTGGAAACAAATAAGGAACAGAAATAATAGCTGCAAATCAAACCTTTGCATCCATGTTGTCAGGATGGTAAGGAGAATATTTGCTTGGCACAATAATAATGACTCCTTTAGACATTCCTATAGCAATGTAATACATATGAACGGAAAGGACCAGAGGATACCCATGTTCCCTCCTGAAGGCTGAAGATGAGAAAGTTCGAGTAATGGTATTATTGGAATCAATATGGAAGTAGCCCAGCATAATTGACTCCCGCCGAACACCCTCAAGCCTCATTGGTTGAGCAGCAGCACCCTCTTCCCAATGTAACCCCGTAAATGCTTGCTTCTTCTCAAGTTCTTCAGCCACTTCAAGGGGGGTCATGGACCTTTGGCGTGACTTCTTGTCCATACTTCTGATATCCTCATTATTATTACGTAGCCAAGCTGCATCCAGATCAGTCTCAGCAAGAAGATCCTCTCTACTTGGACTCGACACATCATCTTCAGGCTGAAGAATGGCATCTTCCTGACCATGCATTTCATCCATGGGCAAAGTGTTTTCCTTGTCAGTATTAGGTACTGTATGAGTCTGCTCCTGTTGGACCATGTTGGTAGAATGAAATTTTGCATCCTCGTCACTCTTGTCCTCCTTATCATGAGCTTCTGATGAAGAAGATGGTTGAAACTGCATGATTTCAGTATCCAACAATTCAACAGATGCAGCGGTTGAATTCTCATCGACATCCAAATATTTCATAGAAGATTCTAGAGTAGGAGATGAAGCTACAGCTCCTGCAGCTGAACCATCATCATCAATTTCAACAAAGGAATGCCTGGGAAGAAAAGATTCAGCATTCCGTTCAATCAGAGTTGGTTCCGTCAGGAAATTATCAGGATCCTGTACATCACAAAATTGCTTGCTGCCATCAATTTCTTCCTCTACATAATTTTCTCGTTGAAGTCCTCTTCCTATGGTTGACCGAGAGCTATGTGGATCATGAACCTCTTCAGTGTCAATCTCCGCAGAGGCTGATGGCTCAGAATTGGAACTGGGAAAAGAATTGAAGACCGGGCCAACAGTAGCGGCAGCAGTTCTAGAGGACTTCATTGCAGCAGCATTGCGAGTGGGTATGGAGCGAGAGGCAGCCGCAGCAGCGGCAAGGGCAGCTCCGGGTTTGACATTGGATTTGATGGCAGTAAAAAGCGGAGGAAGACTAATGGATGCTGAACTTTGAAGGGTGGTCCGCGCAGATGAAGAATCACCCAAATTTAACCTACTACTGCTATTACTGATATGAAGACTTGTATTCGATGAAGAACGATCCAAGATAGAATCTAAAGAATGAGTATGAGATAGCAGCCTTGGGATCGGAGCTGCAGAGGAATTTTCCAAAGAACTATTGCTATGAACACTAGCATTGTCATTACTAACATCCTTGCTATTATGACTACTATTAGACACATCCTTATCACCATTGACATCTGCATGATCTAATTGAGAGACAGGGGAGGACAATGAGGACGACCTACCATGATACAAATTAATTGCAGCATAATCACCATTGCTACTAGAATGCAAGGGGGAAGAAGGCGGAGAAGGCGAACCAGACGAAGAAGAAGAGTCATAGAGAAGGAGAATTTCATCCACCGTTCGAAGGGGAAGCGAGGGTGATCTTTCATAGGTGTTACCATCATCCACCATATCTTGCAACTCAGCTATCAGTTCCATAAGTTTTACTTCGATTCCTTCAGCAAAGGACAACATAATATGTCAAATTTATGAACATTGACACATTGATGATTCTGAATTCTAATTTAGTGCTTCAGCCAGAGATCAAGAAAGTCTATTACTCAAACCACAGCAGAAATCAGTAATTACAAGTTCATATGTAACATGAAAACCCTAAAACCCAAGAAAACTCATTAATAGCGTGCACTGCCGGAAGAATTTCCAGTAAACTACGGGATTATATGATCAGTCCAAAACAGTAGAAAATTGGAAAAAGGAAACCGAGAAGACAATGGTGAAAAGCGATCGAGTACGTACCTACTTTCAGAAAGGCGGCAGCGATATTGGAAAAGGCGGCGGCGAAGGTGGTGGCGTAGATAACAACGGTTACGGTACAGATGCCGGAAAGATGTCCAGTTCGAGAGAGGATATAGGAAACGGGGAGGATCCGTATACGCTTATGACCCGAACCCAATAAATTTCTGGGGGGGATTAGTAAGTTACATACTGCTCCCCAATATTTTCAGAAATTAGATATTGAACCCCAACATTTTAGAAATGACCTCCTTCTATAAGGTCTCTCAATCCTCTTAATGAGTACTCTGACTTCGAGTTTTTTCCTTAAATATATTTGCACATTAAGGACCTGGATAAAAAAAAACCTTCCAGAAATTATATGGACAAAACTATATGCCACGGATTTCAGAAATCTGAATCAGGGTAATAGTCGGATTACTGAAATCCGAATCCGTGTAAACTCGGATTACTGAAATCCGGATTTGTGTAATGTTAATCAGATATTAAGTTAATAAAATAATTTAGTGTAAATAATATAAATACAGACTTCTCGAATCCGAATTCACTAATAAAATATTAATTTTCAGTGGGATGAAAAAATTATAAGTGTTGGAAAATAATTTTTGGCTAAAGTTGGATTACGGGAATCCGAATAAGTGTTAAAACAGATTCTGTAAATCCGGATCCCCTCTTTGGTTAAAGACGGATGAAGGAAATCCGAAGTTGTATAATTCGGATTTAAGTAATTCGGATTGCCTCTGTTTCTCTGAGAAACTGGAACTCCCAGATAGGCATTGATTCGGATTTGCGAAATCTGAGTCCTTTACAAAATGCAGGACTTCGGATTTATGAAATTCGGATCTTTGTTAGAACTGAAAAAAAAATTAGACTGGTTTTAACCAGTCCAAAACCTGTTTACAGCACCAACAACAATGAAACATAGAATAACAGAAATCTAATGGCAACAAAATAATAAACTTCATTTGATTAACAACGAAATATAACAAGTTTCAATTCAAAGACTACTTTCAATGTAAAAATACATCAATGGGCTCATTTTTTCCCTTTTCCTTTCTTAGGCGCATCTAAGTGTATTTATTTGGCCCCTGGCGGATCCTGTCTTCCTTCTGAAGATACGTGAGTATTGAACCTTGTTGTTAACGCAGTTGGGGTTGGGTTGGGATTGGGACTCTCCCGTGGTGAGAATTAGGACTCCCAATTGTGGTTGCGACTCTCTACCAAATTGAGTCTCAGGTCCACAAATGTCTTCAAATTGAGTTTGGACCTGGATGTGCGAGCCTCTAGAAGAAGCTGCCTCGCCCTCTCATTGTTGATTACGTGAACTGTCACCCTCATTTTTTTCTTGCGATGATCGAGGGGGAATCACTATTCGCTTTCTTCATCCTCCAATCTTCTCTCTCGGCCATGGTTTCGCTTTTTTAACCGGCGTAGGTTGTGAGTGCAGAGATAGTTCTTCATTAACTAGGATTTGAGTTTCGTCCATGTCAATCTGATCATTTGGACCCAGAGTTAAAGCAGGATGTGTTTGATCGATGATTTCGTTTAAATACTCCTCGAGTTCATTGTCTTGGAGATTCTTCTTATCTCTATCATCTCTAAACTGCTCAAAACTCACGCAAATATTGTTCAATACTTCACCCTGAAAAGAAATTAGAACTTTAATTAAATGAGTAAAATACAAAAATCATAAAAAGATAAAAAAAAAATAAAAGGAAAATATAAGAAATTAAAAATCCAAAATATAGAATGAACTTACATATAATTTCACTCGGCTCGAACAAGTCTCGTATCCTTTAGCTTCATAAATTTTTGGGATTGGATATAAGCTTAACAGTATTCATCATGAACTAGTCATAGTACCCCTCATATGTTTGGCCAGGGAATCCAACCTCCAAATCTTTTAGATCGTACTTTTCTCTCTTTCTCCAGTGAGGACGTACTGCGGAATGGTGATCCACCCAATTGTTGCTAGGTAGGCCTGACATATTGCGGGAGTAATCGAGAAGAAATGCTGCGGGGTCTTTAATCATAGGGCTACGGGAAACACCTTGTATGTATCCAAATTGTCTCACAATTCTGAGCGACTCGTGGGATTCCCTAACAGTCCAACAGAACATCGAACATCTGGTCGTCCAAATGGTTTGGCCTTGTTTACAGAAATCAGGGAGTTTAGGAAGGACGCTTGTATATAGTTGCCACAGAAATTGCACGAAAAGAATTTATTTAAATGGTATAACCGGAAGAAAGAAATTCAATACAAATATACATATCAAATTAAGTACTTACATCTCCAAGACGTAAGCTTGTTAATTGATCTCTAAAAGGTGCCAAGCTGCTCCTTGGGACTTCTTCGTAAGTGTACGAACATTCCCACCTTAATGAACAAACGCGAAGGGGTTATACTTTAATTAGTAAAAAAAGGAATAAGAAATAAATAGAAATAAACATTGAGTTATTTTGAAATGAAAATACATACCGCTGAGCTAATGGAGCGGTCTCATCCAGTATATAATCTAGTTGCACTCTATGTGGCGCGATTTTCTTGATCCGCTCATACGCCCATACCTAGTAAATTTCAATAATAATGCTAACACTTCAAATTATAATATCGAAAACAAAAATAATTATAACACCTAATGAAAACTAATACGCACTTGTAGCAAATATACACAGCTAGTGAGGTCGTGCATGGTGTACTGGGTTGCCTCACACAGGCCAGAGTACAAACAAGCCAGCAGGGCCGATCCCCAACTGTATCGACTACACTGCTCCAAATCCTTAACCTGGGTCAACAACTGCAGATTGACAGTGTTTAGAGTCTTGGTAGGAAACATGAATCTGTTCATAAAATGCAGGATTATTGTCCAGGCCCTTTGCTCGAGTCACTAGACTGGGGAATCATCAGAGAGTGTACGTTTCATCTCATCCTCAAAAACACCAATCTTGACAAATTGGCCATATACTGCGGCTGACCGGAATCCTAAATAAGTCTCACATCTCGCCCGGTATTCCTCTGCACTCTGGCTAACTGTCGTCCCGTACACCAGCTCACTGTCCACCCGGATACCAAAGAGAACCTCGATATCCTGTAATGTCACAGTCGCCTCGTCGAAATTGAAATGGAAAGTGTGAATTTCTGGCCTCCACCGTTCCACAATGCGGTAATGAGACCGAGATCCACTCTTTTGTAGCCTACTTTCATTATCCCCTCAAAACCGGCTCTTTTAATGATTTCCTTAACCTCCGGTGCCGTATGATCACTGTATATCTCCCAAAATGAGCTATTGTATTTACGACCCTTGAGGCGGAATGTTTTAATGTTGTGGATCTTGTTCTCAAAGACAGCTTGGGACCTATGGTTTTTTTGAAGGTATATCATGTTATCTTGTTCCGGCCCCGGTTGAAGATGTTTATGGTTATATTGCGAGCTAGATGAGCTAGCCATTGCAATCCTACATTCGGCAACCAAAGAAACATTTGCACTTCAATATAGATCATCAAGAAATATAGATCCTACATTCAACTAGTCAATCATAGAAAAAAAAAACATAACCAAAAAAAAAAAAATCAGAACATCAATGTTTCCAAATGCAATAACATAACATGAACCACACTACAGAATCACAACCAAATGCAACAACACAACAAGTAATTAACATTGGTTCATATTAGGATTTCGGAAAAAAATAAAATAAAATAATTGAATCAAAAAAATATTTGCATAAGAAACTAAACTAAACTTGACAAATTAATGCGTTAATCATTCTTAACTAAACTAAACTAAATAAAAACTAAACACAAATGTATCAGAAACTACACACAATGTATCCCACCAACATAGAGCACAAGCAAATGCCAAAAAAAAAAATTATAATTCATAACCACACTGTTGTTTAGGAAACCCGAAGGTAAACTTAACGAATTAGTGCATTAATCATTACTTAACAACCACATAAAGCACAATCAAATGCCAAAAAAAAATCATAATTCATAAATGCATTGCTATTTAGGAAACCCAAAAGCAAACTTGACGAATTATGATTACATTACCATATAATATCTAGAAAATGACCATCTCAATTTCTCCAAGAAACAGTAAGGTAAGTGAAAATAGATAAACAATACATACGGATTTCACAACTCTCAGAAAAGGGCGGAAAAAAAAAAACAGAATTCAGATTCGTAGTCATCAATACATTAATTTGACATAAAGAAATAAATAAGGCAAAAAATTAGGGGGAAAAACTTACAGGATTACGAAGTCGCTGGACCGGAGGAGTTGGATGTCACAGTCGCCTGCGGAGGAGTTGGATGTCATAGTCGCCGGACGGAGGAGTCGTTGAGGGAGAATGGACGGGAGTTAGTCGCCGGACAGAGGGGAGTTAGTCGAGGATTCGATGCCGGCAGCAGAGTCGGTTAGCCGGACGGACGCTTCAGAATTGGCGCATCAGGACTTCGATTTCGAAACAGCGGCCAGAGGGAGGTGGGTCGCCGGACGGAGGGGAACGGTCAAACGGCAAAGTTCGTCACTGGTCGGGGAAGGGGGGGTAGTTTTAGGGTTTTTAATTCGGAGGATTGGGGAAAATGACTTGGGGAAGAGTTAACCGACCTTTTATAGTCCCCGTTAAACACGAATTTCTCAAATCCGAATATAGAGATCCAGAACAAAGACATTCGAATCTCCCCTGCTTCTCCCAAAATTGCACACTCTCGGATGGATTTTCTGAGTACGAATTTTCGAAATTTGAATACAGTACAAATCTGGATAACTGGATTTCGGAAATCCGAATAATTTGGTGCAGAAAATTGAGATTATTTCAGATTTCAGAAATCCGAGCCCAGTACAAAATGCCTACATTCGAATGTCTGAAATCCAAGCCCTATACAAAAACACAAAATGTCCAATTTTGTTTTTGCACAATCCCAAAATCTGTTATCAACAATTAGTATCTATTTTCATCACAATCACAGCACCAACAATTCAATATTAACATTACAATCCGAACAATTCATTGTTAACATTACAATCCGAATTTATCTATACAAAAAGTTATAAGACAACTAATTAAACAGTTGTGATTCCAAATAACAAGAACACTAAATGTCTTTCAATTCCAGCTGTCATTCACAGGTCTTCTATCTACTCC